CTGGTCATGTCAATACTGCAGTTACTTGTGCGCAGCGATACATAAGGCCAGCACATGTGCTTATATTAAATACCACAAAAATTATCTACTTCTCCTTAGAGTGGAAATACTAACTGTTTAGGAAATATTTTCAGAAAGCTGTAATGAATGCAGGAGCACAAAGTAGGACGGAAAAAACGCGTACAAATTCCAAAAATACTCTGACATTAAGTTTGTACATATTTAGGACATCTAGTTGGATCAACTTCTAAAGAAAGAAGTTCTGAATTAATATTAATATAGAATAGCTTGTTATTTTTAAGAAGTTTGGCATTAAAGACATTTGGAAGATGTCGCTATATCCCTTTGCAGATTGAGAAGGAAAATATTTACCCATGTTCTTTCTTCAGTGTGTCTACTAAACCAATCAAATCATTAATCTGAGTCCTGAGCTCTTCCACAGAAATTTTTTCATCATCTGTTTCTCCTTTAAATTGGATGTCTCCAGGAAAAAAGTTGAGTATAACAGAACTTGGTCTCTGAGATGAAGATGGAATTGGTGGACTGAATGGAGACGGCTGAAAAAATAAATCAGTAGAAAGCTAAGAAATGAAGTTTTAATGAACTGACCACTTAGAGCATACAGGTTGTACTGGTATGGGAGTTGCATGTGCACAAGTTTCCTTCAGTTTCTACCCAAAAGGCAAAAAACAATGTCCAGTTCAAACGGACTACTGTAGTATATGAGACAGTTCTTTTATACAGCTCTTTATTAAGCATTTCCCTGAGGTTCCTGCAGTTACTAAAAAAAGTACTCACACTAGAGTTCTCTACACTTTAAAAAAAAGTGTGATTTAATGGAGCCATTGGTTCATTATAAGCACTCTTTTGTGCACCTTTCTGATCTGCTCAGTTGTTCTGTCTGTCGGAAGACTAAAGGCTGAGCAGACATGAAGCTTATTTAGGAAATACCACCATAGTTTCATGCTACCTGATACAATAGTTCTCATCAGAACTGATGCACTTCATACTAAAGTATAAATGAACTTTATACTAAAATTCCTACTATGAACTTTATACTAAATGACACTGCTCACTTGCATTTAAATACAATAATTTGCATTTAGATGGTTGCATCAATCTAAACTGGAAATATGAGCAAGATGAACAGAACACCTAGCTGCCTGGTACTTCTCTAGCTGCTTGGTATCATACCTTTTTTGTTTCAACTGACTTTGGTTTGGCACTTTCTTCTTCTTTCTGCACCTTCAAATTTTTTTCTGGACTCACGTTTTGACTTGCCTGGTAAACCATTCATAAAAAATGAAAAGGTTTTCAGAATTAAAAAAAAATTAAAAAGTAAATAAAAAAAAGAACTGTCACATGTTTCTAAAGATGCAATAGTAAAAATAAAAAATAGAATAAAATAACCAAACAAATTGCTAGACCACCATAGTTTTCTTTCCCTGACAGTCAGAACTTTCCTTCCCCGCAATACTCATTCAGCTGAATTTAAATCAAACATAGGAATCTTGGGCAGGATTTTCAAGCATCTCTGCAGTACTGAACAAGTTCTTGATGCTTTTGGGAGCCTGTAGGTGCTTCCATAAACACAGACATTATCAGACAGTAATTGTAGATGGTAACTGGCACAACTGAACTATACACCACCTGATGATATAATTTGATTTCAAGGGCTCCGCACCACCTGATTCTCACGGTCTGACAATCTCATGTCTTAGCACATGAGATCACAAGTCCTGCCTTACAGCAACATTAAATTACAGATTTATTGTGGCCAAAGACTATATATTGTCAGGCTTGTAAGGCACTAAAGACACTTTCAGAGTTGTGTGTATGCACAACACCTGTTTCATCATCAGGGATGCTAGAAGAGCTGAGTACTTACTGCAGTAATACCCCACAGAACAGAAAGACTCCTTCAGCTACAACGCAGTTGTGTCGTTTCTCTTACGTACGCTTCCCTCCTGGGAATGGATATTCCTGTAGACAAAGTCTATAGGAACTGAGCCCCTGCGGCATTTTGCATTTCACTCTCAGGTAAATGGTTCATAAGACTGTTTCCCAGTTCAACCCTGTTTCCTGGGAAGTTAGTTCTTAGTTCACTGCTAGGGAAACACACCAAATATACTCACAGGACTACTGCTATGGAAACGTGAAGGCAACCTCCTACCAGGCATCTTGGGTCGGTTTGCAGTAGGGTGCGATAGATTATCTGAGGTAGCTATTACATCATCAAAGCTTAACAGACCTAGAAAAAGATGAAAATACAGACCACCGTCAAGACCAGAAGGTTTTGCTGCATTCTTTTTTATCACTTTTTTCCTTAAGACGAAAACAAAATATCAGAATTCTTATCGTTTCATAGATTTTCAGCATATACAACACGAGCCATACAAAACAGCTACATGACTTTGGCGTATCTGGGAAACCACATTTTCCCCCTTGAAAAAAATTAAGAGTTAATTCAACTAGCATTTAAATTCAAGTTCTCAACAGAAGAAGTGCTGTAGTAACATGGCAGCATAAACCAGACCTAAGAAGCATCTGGAGAAAGATATATTTATGACTGGTTTTTTGAGAGGTGCCATATTCAACTACTTAAGAGAGCGTATTTTCTGCTCACTAAACGTGCATGAAAAGCACGAAAATCCAAGTTTAGTGACTAAGACAAAAAAATAAAAGCAACATGGTAAAGTACATGTTGACCAGTTGGTGAACGTAAGTTAACAAGACATTAACTGCAAACGTTTCTGTGCAGGGCAGTTTTTTCCTATGCAGTGCTTTGTCTAAAGAAAATACACGACTTCACAAAGTCTGTAATAAAACATTTCAAAACTCCATTCTCATACTTTATTAAATCATACAGATCTCTCTGCTCATTAGTTTCTTTATGCTCTAGGTAAACTCTCTCTTAGATCAGTAGAAATTCTTTACATCCTATGGGAAAGGACAACCTTTGGAAAAAAAACATTAATAGGAAGAACAGAACATACCTAATCTAATAACATAAGTAGTTCACCTCGTTAACAACTCAACTTCTTAACTGTTTAGTAAGAATAATAATAATAATAATACTTACCTGCCAACACATGTGCAATGAGATAGGTTTTTATTTAAGCATCAGCGTAAGATTATGGGTATTATATACGTTTTTACAACACAAATTCATTAGACTTATTCTAGAGACTCTAAATGTTTAACTAAAATGCCACACAGCATTTACTACGGGCACCAAAAGTAACATTCAAGGTTTGGTGGGGGTTTTTTTTGGGGGGTGGGGTGGGTATTGAGGGTTTTTTTGGCAACCTCTGATTTTTACATGCCATTATGGATTTATCAGACAGAAGCTATTATACTTCTTCCCGTATTTCTCATTCATTTTGAAGCTATAGCAAGAGGTCAGATAAGAAAAAGAGTCCTAAGAACACTGAGCCAGACCGTTCATACCACTTCAGTGTTTGGATGACTTAAAAGCACCTGATTGATCCAAGTTTTACTCATGCATTGTCAAAGCTAATTTATACCTGTAGGAACTAAGTTTTCCACTAAATGTTTTAACTGATTTTAATGTCTTCTACTCTGCGTTACTATCCTTGAAGTCCTTAAAATATTCACATCTTTCGGACATCCCTGAATGTATCTACTTCATCATCTGTTGCCTTGTTGAAATGCAATCTGTAACCAATCAGTTTTGCTGCTTTTTAATTTTATTAAAGAGAATGTAAAGATAGTCTTTTGTAAACATGTAATCATATTTGCAATTTTAAAAAGCAGGGAAGAAAAACAAAGAAGGAAGAAACAGAAGAGTGATGAATGGCAAGCGGCTGACGGAAAAGAGGATGAGGGAGAAATAAATAACTATAAAGGTATTTCTGTTGTACTCTGCGCCAATGAAATACTTAACATATTAGAAGTCAACAGTGACCAAGGGGTATACCTTCATGTTCTTTACTCAGCCGTCTGTAATCCCAGAGCACTAACCCATGCCAAAATGTAAATCAGGATTTACATTAGTTAGGTATTATTAAAGAGGTAACAAGAAGGCAGGAGGAAAAAAAAAAAAAAAAATATATGCCCTATCCCCCATCTCAGTATTTTTTGCCTTTAAACGACGCTCCTTTTGCCATTCTGCAGAAATGACAAACCATTTGGCAGTAAATTTAAATAAGAATTGTAAATTGAGTTGCTGTTATGATTGTAATGCCAGCCCTGTCTCCATGAACAAAGTAAACATCAGGCATATTAAGAACATTAAGAACAATGCGTACTTCTGAAAAACCCCGCAGTATTTGACAAGGCTTGAAGATGAAGACTGCTACAGTCTTGAATTGGATATGATTTAAATATAGATGGTGGGATGGGATGGGGTTTTTTTCCCCCCTATTAGTAAGAGATTCTAAAGGAAATTGCTCCACCTGAGACAATAGCTCAGCATAAAAATATTACCCGCACATTACAGTCAGAGGGAATTCTGACTGCACTTGCATTTTCCTTTTTACCTTTCCATTGTGTTGCTTTGGTATAAGGAAGAAATTAAACACAGGCTGGTGGGGATTTGGGTTTGTGTTTTTGGTGGTGGTGTTTGTGTTTGTTTGCTCTGTTGCAGGTTTGGGGGGTTTTGTTTGTTTGTTTTTCTTTTCAAACAGCATTCTTAATTATTTTAGGAGAAAGCTTGGCCCCACTGAAACCAACAGAGATACCAGTGAAACCCACTGAAAGATAACAATTTACACCCATTTCAATCAATAAAGTGATTTATCAATCAACTTTCTTACAGACAGCCTGTGAGTAATTGTTAAAGGGAATCCCATCATAGTGCCAAATGAGCAATACCATATGTCTGGGGATAATTTGAGTCAAAAAATGACTTTAAAGCTGAGCGAGAGCACCTTTCTTTCTAGAAAGATGAGCTAATTTAAGCAGTTACTTCGGACAGACTATTAGAAACATCTCTTCTGCAAGCTTAACATGGATCCATACATAACAGAACTGCTAGGAGCTTTAACAGAAACAATTAGGTGAGAGGTTTTGTTAAGATTTGTGAATGCTTCAGGTGTATGCATACCAGTTTGTCTTAAAAAACCTTCACAAAAAGAAGCAAAGCTGAAGAGGTGTCTAAAGAAATTATGGTTCCAACGTATCATGTGGCTGGGGTTTAAAAACCCATGATAGAAGTGAAACGTATCCAATATTTTAGAAGACAAGACCTCCCATTAACCTGCAGACTAAGAGAAGATGGCAGCCCTTTTTCCTATTACTTATCTTGCTGAGATTACACCCCAAAAATTTAGGGGACAGATATAAGCTTTAGAATATTTAAATTTGCAGTTGAACAATAGTAAGGTATTTGCTACAATTAAGCATGTGCCTAATACATGACTTTCACAAATACTATTTTACAAGACTTATAATACTAAATATGCAGCTATGAAGTCTTTGGCTAATTTGTGCTACAGAAAGATAAAGCCATTTAACCTAAATACACCAGAAGTCCTACAGATAGTGTTTATAGTGAAATGTGTTCAATATGTTTGGCTTATCAATAGCTGGACTGTAAAGTTTTTTGGGTTTTCTTTTTACCTCTACAAGTTGCTAATTGAAAAGTAAACTGAAAGTAACTTCTTGTTTAACAGCTAAGGAAAACAGGCATTCAAAGAAACAAAAAAGCATTTTAAACTGAAACCCAAAAATTTTAGTATCAATAACTGCAACTGAAAATTACGCTTATGAAGTTAAGAAGAGGCTATGTGTATGGCATAAAGCATTTGGATTTCCTTATAGATTGTTATCTTACCAAAATGGAGAAGGGTAGGGTAATTTCCTGACACGTAAGAAGGGAAACATGGCAAACAGGATAGGAAACAAAATCTGGAAAGAAAAGTCAAGGAGAGGAATGTCTAGAAAAAGATTCTGAACAAAAAAATTATTTTACAAAGCAGGAAAAAGAAACATTTGTAGAAGAAACAGAATTGCTTTACATGTTCAGCATACTAGTATTACAGCTTTAGTATTTTACAGTACTTTAATTCTAACCAAACAGAGAAACATTTATGCCATTTTTCAAATAAAGCTTTAAGAGGAGGTATTTCAACATGATCAATGTTTCTGAATGTTTTTGAGTGTTTGTCCTTATCTGGTGGCTGGGGGGCCCAATTTTGGTCTGGGTTGGGTTGTTTTTTCCTATAGATACAGAATATTTACAGCTTTTCCTTAGGCTAAACTGAAAGAGGCTGAACCTTCACCACACTTCACGGTCAAACTAAGTTGCAAAAAAATAAACCCACACTTAAAAAAATTGGTTTTCTAAAAAATCATTCACTTCAGGATCTCAAGCTAAAGGAGGAAAAAAAAAAAAAGGGAAGAAAAAAAGAGACCCTGGTAACAGAGTTGCCAACTCTAGCCATACAATTCTCCCCATGTTTTAGTATCTAACCTAGTTCTTGTAAGATTAAACAACCTTAAACTTTATATAAGGACCCAACATCTTTGGGGTTTTATGTAGTATTAGCTGCTGCATGGAGTATTATGTCTTTAGCAGCAGAATGCATACAGAGACATAAAGCATGAGATTCATTCTATTTTACTGGCAGGAGTTTGGACTAGACCCCTTTCACAAAAGCAGTAAAACTACAAGTGACTTACGCAGATAGTTTTAAACGAGGACAATTTCACACAACAGAGGACTTTTGAAACTTTCCTCAAGTAGCAGCTCCTTGACACTGTCAGTGCTGCATCCCCACAGGACTGCCTGAGCCTCCTTTGCTTGCTCTGCACCGAACAAGGACCACTGAACAGACCTCACCCACTTGCCAGTTCCCCACTCCCACCCCCTGTGCACCTAGGTATTAAAATCTTGAATTTCTGTGAGCCTGTAAAATCTTGTGTCAGCAAACAGGAATTCATAGATTTTTTTTTTTTTAATCTGTATTAAATTAGAGATACACATATATATATATAGTATCTAATATCACAGCCACTATGTTGACACTTTGGTTGAAGATGTCAAGATAACTGCACCTAAAGAAAAAGTTCCATGTTTTCATGGGGAGCTTTTTCCTGGGGATAAATGATACTATGGTATACACTAACACATCTAGCACAGTCCTAGAGATAAACATCTGAGTAGTAGGACAAGGCTTATATTTTTAAGGCAAGGTTGTGCATCGCTCTTTCATTTCTCAGCTTACTTTGGCCTGAAAGTGTTTCTTCCGTACCCACACTCAAACTCATCTTTAAATAGATGCAACAGTTAAACTGCCAACTCAAAACCTTTAACACAAGGCATATCACAGCGTATGCACAGATTTTACTGGGGAATAAAAAAAGAACTTATAAATACTTTAGCGTATTTATAAGTAACACTGACAGTATTTGTAATATTTCTAGGATATTCTAATACCTACTGAAATCCATCTTTTTGTGGTTCAGAAAAATATAACTTCTGTATTAAAAAAAAAAAAACATACATGAACTAACCTTCCCTCATACAAAACATTTAACCTTAGAATCATATTTTTAAATGCCTAATGGAAAAAAATCAGTACTACTCCTTTCTATTCATAAACTGCTTCATTTTTTTAATGCATTATTTTTATCTTGCAGGTTAATTCATTACACTGTAGGATCAACTATTCTACAACATGAATATCATAATCGGCCTTAAAAAAAAAATCAAGTTATACTACAATTTCAAAATGTATTACTACTAAAACCTCTTTGGAGATGAACAATCGTATTTGAGATATGCAAGCCAAACACTGCAGGTACAATTCATTAAAGCTTCTTCTGCAGTGGGTAGTCATACAATAAAAACAATTGAGTTTAAAAAAAAAAATGCCCAGAGCAGATGATCTCTGCTTAAGAGGCACACAGAGGACTGAAATCAGTTGTGCTGTCAAGTCAAGGACAAAATGTAACTATATAATAGCTCAGAGAGCCTGATCATCAATGTGGGTGCTTTAACCAGTATCACGGTTTTTACTGGACAAATTTAGATTTAAGGAGATGCCAGGTTTGGCTAAAGGTGCATTAAGCAAAGCCATAAGCATGAAATTCAAATGTACAATATAGCATGCTGGCCCAAATTTAAGGTGTGATAAAAGTCATAATCTAGAACAGCTATGAACTTAATCACAGAATGCTGAAGGTAATGGTATTACTAAAAATATGCAAGTTAGCTAGAAAAGCAAAAGTTATCTGAAATGCAGGAGCAGAACAAAACAGAACCAGTCAGTAAGGAAACCAATTTCATAAAAACACAAGATAAAAGTGACAGCAAAAATACATGCTTTCAAATTAGAAGAACAAACCATTGCCTACGTTCCTCCCTTCCTATCATGAAGCCCTGTTACAACACAGGGCTCATTCAACTACCTCCAAACAGCCTACTGACATCTGTTCATCGCTTGCTGACTCTTACCTTCAGCTACTTACAGCAGTTCTAAAAAAACGGACTTTCTACTGAACAGGCATAATTGCACTCTGTGGCATTTCGAGTAAATTACTTAAAAAGCTTGTTCTAACCTTGTAAAATACTGCAATCCAAACAGAAAGACCCAAAAGAACTTTTTATTCTTTTCTTACCTGATTCTTTAGAGCTCTTTACCACAAGTGAATCTACCTCTACTGATTTTGGTCTAAGTGGTAATGGTTCAGAGTCTAACTTTGGTTTTGCTACTGGCTCAACTTCAGATTTTGGTCGAAGAGAAACAATTTCTCCATTAGATCTGTAGTAAGAAAAAAATGACAAGACATACCTAGTCAAGAGGTTAAATAGTTTACAACTGAAACATACCAAGAATTAGAATTAAATGGAAAAATTTCAGTAGATTTTATCATTTTCTAAAGCCTTGCTTAAAATCAAGTCTTTCGGAGAGCAATTCTACTCCTGTAAAAGCCAATTTTTCTGTTCCAGCTCTTGCAGACTTGTCAAACATGTACAATCCCCTTGTAAAAATAATCCAAAACTTTTACTACACAGCACATTGTGGCACTTTAAATCTAAAATATTACACTTCAGTGCAACAGAAAACAAGAGAGCTGAATAGCACCTTCAGTAATATCTCCTGAAATATTCAGAAACATACTCAGACTCCTTGACATCAAAATCTTCCTGTAAAGAAAAAAGCTGCCAAGAACAAGTTATTTCTTTCTGGGTATAGAATAAAATACCTTGTGTATATGGCTTTTATTCTACCATGCATTCTTTGCGTATCTGGTCACATCATCCAGGGACAAAAAAACCAACCACCAAAACAAACAAACAAAAAGAACAGATGACATTTTCCTTTACAATTCTTGCCATCATTTATGCCTGTGCTGGTTTTGGCTGGGGTAGGGTTAATTTTCTTCGTAGTAGCTAGTATGGGGCTGTGTTCTGGATTTGTGCTGGAAACAGTGTTGATAACACAGGGATGTTTTTGCTGCTGCTGAGCAGTGCTGACACAGAGTCAAGGCCTTTTCTGCTTCTCACCCCACCCCACCAGTGAGTAGGCTGGGGGTGCACAAGAAGTTGGGAGGGGACACAGCCGGGACAGCTGCCCCCATCTGACCAAAGGGATATTCCACACCATATGACATCATGCTCAATATAGTCAGCATAAAAATAAAGTATATAAATGGATCAGTTGTCAGCTATTTAAAATTTTCAATTACTAAAGGACCACAGTTTACTACAGACCTCTGTTTAACTGCACATGTGTATCCCTTTATATCCATAATTATTTTCTAAGATGGGGGAGGGGAAAGTGACTTGTGGTTTGGAAAAAAAAAAAAATCTTTACTTGGGAAACTCCAAAATACCAAGTGATATAACACAGTTACATACTGAAAACCTAAACAGCAGTAAAGTGGCAATGGTCTAACTCTTCATTTGGACATCCAATGTTCCCAGGGCTGTGCAGGGAGGGATCAGAGGCAGCTCTGCCTAGATTGTCCTCTGTTGGAGTCAACCATTGAAAGTGTGTGCCTTACCCACGCTCCCTTTCCCCACTGCCCTCCCTCCTCACTGTTTTCTCCCTTTAGATATTCTTCCTTTTGGTTCAGCTGTACAGGACCAGCTGTAAGAAAAGACAAACCTTGACAAATGTTTGCTGCCACCCTGTATCTTTGCAGGTATTTAAGGTGCAAGGTCTTTGATGTAGCAGCTGTCTGCTCCTTTATTCATACAAGGCCAAGTGCATCATGACCTTACTTTCACATGGTTCTTTCAAGTCAACTAAACATCCCAAAGGGACAGTTACCCATCAGCAGTTTATTTACAGTTTCAGGTTAGGAGCTAGCAAATACTTTGATGAAGACAGAAAGGGAAACTGGGGGCGGGGGGGAACGTATTGATGTAAAATTAGTCTTAGTGAAACACCACAAATAATTGTTTCAAATTCATGAGAAAACTTTTTTTAAAAGTGGATCTGAAAGAAATAGTGAGCGATCACTTGCTATTACCATCCCTGTTTCTCCAGTAACTCAACTGAGAATACTCAAGACAGAGTATAAAGACTGGGTGTGGTTCTGTAACAAGTGCTTTCTTCCCCAGAAGAGCACATGAGCAACAATGGGTACATTTAGCACAGGTACTAACTGTGCTCAACTCTTCCTTTCCATCTATCCTGTTCTATATAAAGTGCTGAAACATTGGACATTGACGCAACTCAAATCTTCAGGTTTTTTCCAAACACAATAATAATTCTCAAGCGCCACGTCCATAGATTCTTTTACACCATACTGCTACTGTAGCTACAACTTCTTCATTATGGGGCAGGCTTAAAGCAAAGCAACCCACAGATTTGTAACTTGATCTGCCCCATGCTTAGTTATGCTGTAATATTTACTCTGAGATGGATTCAATGTCTCAAAGAATTAGAAAGTTCTAAGTTCGCATTGATAAAGACTTGGAGAACCAAGACACTGGTAAGTGTATGGCAAAACTTATCCTTGCATCCTTTTCACCCTTAAAACATGCATTTCTTCCCACCTCATCCATGAAGGAAGACCGACCGACAAACCAAATAGAATATACTTGGTGTATATGATATAAGTTATACTGACTTGGATACAGATGATGGCAAAACAGGTTTATCTGGACGTTTTGGGTGCAGAAGCCCTGCTCTCAGTAAGCTGTTAGTCTTGCTTGGAGGAATAGGCTTCTTAGGTGGTACTTGAGGAGCCTGTGGCTTCAAAGGCTTCTGATCCAAAGCTCCTTTTTCATCTGACAAAATAAGTCACCGTAACATTTTAAAAACCCCTGTTGTCTAGAATTCTTAAAATGCTAATCAATTAGAAAGCAACTGCTGTCAGAAATACTTTCTTTGAAGATCAGATAAAAGTGAAAAATAGGTATGCAAGTGTCTTAAGTGATACCTTATCAAAACACACAAACTACTTACCTGAACTTACAAAACATGTTAAAGTAAGCAAAATGTCTTTCTACTGACATGAAACAGTAGTAAGAAATTATGGATTCACATTATTGCACTGCAAATGACAGCTAAGAACCAAGAATCTCTCTGTACTGCTACTGCTTTCTTTTCTATGAATTCACCTGATCTCCTCTTAAAAAGGTAGGGTTTGGTTTTTTTATTTTGTTGTAACTAGACTTCTTCCATACACAAAAGCAGCATAACTTGTCTATGGAAAAAAGGGAGGAAAATGAGTATTTACCTGAGTAACTGAATTTATTTTAGATAAAGTCTACCTTCCTACAAATTCAAGATACAAATTAAGTACGGATAATCAACCAAAAAAAAAACAACCCTGTTGTTCAATGCGTACGTGACCTAATTGAATATGGTCCAGAGGAGCTGACATATAACATATGGGACACCGAAGAATTCAAGCTGCTTCACAAATGTTAGTTGAATAGTCTTCAACCCATGTTCCCTAATCACACCCTGTGGGATATCCAGAGCATGCCTTCTACTTTTCCGTGTAAAACTACGCTACAGCTCAGTCAGGCATGCATAAAGCACTGAGGATTTAAAAGATTGTTGTTAGGTTACAGTAAGGAGTTACAGTCCTTTACAGTTACTGCCCTTACAGGGCAGTAAATCAGTAAACTGGGATGGAGAGGCTGACCTTCAGCTTTGATTCTCTCCATCCTCCCCTCCTGTGACTTTGCTTTTAACCAACTATTGGTCTAATGTAAAATGTTTACATACGCTATGGATTTGGGGGTAGGGTTGGAAATTTGCTTCAGCTCCATCCCAGCTAAGTGCCTGAGCTGCCAGGTCTATGACTGACTTCCTTTGGACAAGTCCTGCAGCCGTTGAGTGTCAGCCCTCCAACCCTAAAATGGGAAAACACTGATATTCTTTCGGAGGAGTACTTGGAAGTAAACAGATCATAGAGATACTTCTGCAAAAAAGCACTACCCAGGGCAGAATTATCCTCCTTCTTTGGGACATTTGAACATTAGGAGGAGATATGAACAAAAAACCTAAACTGGTTGGCATCTCCTTCCAGTCTCTCTTAGTATCGAGTGAAAAAAAATTAAGATACTGATGTAGTGAAAGGATTTTGCCACACGGTGGTGCTGACTGTCCTGTGTAAAACAGCCTGTTAACAGTGCTAGCCACTTCTGCCTACTGATCCTATATGCAAAATTTAAATTTTAAAAGCCCAATAGCAGTTAGTATTACTGAAGATCGATTAGCTTTATTTTAGCTATGCTGAACACAAGTTCAGAATTACGCTTTTTGTTTTTAAGAATAAGTGAATTCATGAACAGGGCAGAAAAAATGCTGTCATCAAATTGTATCCTGAATTATCATCTGTCAGTTTTCCCTTCAATTACTCCCACTCAAAATCTGAATATAAAAACCGTCCACAGCTAAGTGGAAAAAGTTAATACCAAAGGTCAAGATTCACCATGACACCACAGAAACTGGACAATTCTGCTGGACAAAATGGCATGCCTCGTTTAGATTCTGTTCCGCAGTGAAAAAGATAAGGCTTGGCTAAAAATGAGCAGTTTAGCAATGGAAATAAAAATACTAATCTGAAGACATTTACGCTGGACAAAAATTTCTACATGATACCACTAAGTGTCCTTCACTATAAATACAGAAATACTTATAGGAGTATTGCTTTTAATTTTTGATCATTTTTTGATTGCAGTTAAAGGCAGATTTATTAGTCTCCCAATAGGCATAAAAAATATTACATGGTTTGATAGCTTGTGATTAGAGCTGCTCAATTAATTTTATTTTGAAAACTAATTACAGTACAATTTCATACTTAATGAATTTAATCACTAGTATCAACATGGTTATTTTTCCACAAGTAAAACTGCACTGATAAACGGGCATTTCTTCTAGTAAAACACTACTGCTATCTAAATAAGTAACTTAAGACCTGACCTTCAACTGAATACAAGACAAACTTTTCCTCAATCATTTCCTCTACCACAGTAAAGGATGGTTCTCTACCTTACTTAATTTTTCAGAAGCTTTCATATTCCTAAGCATTTTGGATGGTGTCACTCAGTATTTTTTTTCCTATATTCCTCCACGAATAGTTGAACTCAACTATGTAAAGGTTAAGACCATAGTACAAACAGAACCAGTCTAGAACTAAACTTACTTCAGTTTAAATAAACTTAAACTTAAAGAGCCAAGTGATCAGGTTCTCTAGAATCATACAGCTGATCTCAATTCACACCTGAAGATACTGTTCCAACAGATAAAGATAACTTGTTTGCTCACATGCAGAGGAAACAGCTGATTTTAACAAGTATTCTTCATATGAAACACTTGAGAACGTGCTTTGTTTAAAATGTGGGTTATAAAAACTGCCCAAGGAAGCCAAGAAACCCATCGAGCAGGCTTACTTGTCAAAATGCTGTTTAGCCAACGGTCAGCCATAGTTCACGATTCACAGAACAGAGTATGTTTTTGTAATATGGTTAAGCTGCAGTGACGTCAGAATTTCTTCTTTAAGACCCAACCAGCATGTTTGTTTAAGCTTCTGACTTTTAAACACAATCAAAACAGTTTAACAGTTTGACTTGGCAAGTTTTTCAAATACGAAAAGAAGCCTTTTAGAAATGTGTTCGGGTGATAATAGTAGCTTTTCTTCTGAAAAAAAGGTGTCCTTTAAATTTTAAAGAGTGGTAAACACCTCCAAATTTTGTGGAACTGGAAAACATGGAATATAGCAAGAATTAACAGGACAAGAAATCTCAATTTCTGAGCATTGTGACTGTAACGTCTGTCTAACGAGTGTTGTAACTGTTCCGTGTATTTCTTTCAAAAGTATTTTCCATCAGAGACTGATTTTGGCCAAAACATTCAGAAGCAGCAGCAAACATTTTCATTTCTAATAACTTACTATTGCTATTCAAAACTGCAGTCACTATCACAGAACTGTACCTAAATGAATTCAATAGTAACTATGTTATTACGCAGTGCAATCAACATTTTTCAGAATGTCATGTAATAACAAGAAATACACATTTCATGAAAGTGTAGTTGTTCTTTTAATCAGTCTAAACGCATTCCCATAACATCACAGACACGACAACTTCAGTAGGTGGTATCAAAAGAATCTGTATGATGTCTTCCAAACAGGCACCTATTGCACAGAGCAGCCAAGCTAAAAATTGTAACTCATTTACATAGTCTGAAATTCACTATGGAGAAAACTGGTCTCACCTTTTTCTTCAGGCCTCAAAGAAGGGAACTTCTTCTCTCCAGTTGGCAATTCAGGCTTTGGAGCTGAATGCAAAAAACAAGCTTAGACATTTCTCAAAGAGCTTTAATTATCTTAGTTACTAGCTAAAAATATGACATACACCAATTTGTGTTATATTTTCTCCTTTGCAAGGAGTGTAATACCATTTATAAACACTCTTTTGAGTCCAAACTGTAGGCCTGCATTAAAATGTTTCCAAAAGTAGGCTCCATCATCATTTTGAAAAATATATAGCAGCAGCGTAATACATAAAGCATAAAAAGTAACCTCAAACTGTGACTACAGGTGGCTGCATTACTAGGAAATAGAAAGCTACTTCTGAATTTTCTTTTGAAGTCATGCATTGCTTCTGAAATTTAGTATTTCCTCAGACAACGTACCACCATACATATATTACGTACCTGGAGTTTTAACTGGAGGTGGAGGTTTCTTTGGCTTCTGCAAAATGCAAAACAAACAAAAGTCAAATAAATAAACAAACAGATATTCTCTATCGAAGACAGCCTTGTTTGTGTTTTGCATACTGTAATGTCTAGCTTGTTTACTAGCTGATTTCAAAGTATTTCACAAAGGAGGCAATCAATTCACAGACGGGAAACACAGAGAACTGGAGTAATTCCTCTGATATCTCCCAAACAACCAGTTGCAAAAACAGGAACAAAATGCAGGTTTCTTCAAATCTCAGGTCAGTGCTTCAGCAACATGCATAAGCAGCAGAGGTACAAAGAACTAAAAATTAAGAATTACATCTTTCTAGCCCCAAAAATTGCTCTGATCACACCCATTTTAATTTCAATATGTAAACCTCAATCTGGGTTAGTACAATGCAAGTTTAAAGGAGTAATCAGGTAAATTTTTGAACCAAAAATGGTCACTTTCACTGAAAAAAAAAAAGGTTCTAAACTAAATATCGAAAGAACTATTTCAATTAATTGACTGTTAAATTACAACAGTGTAAGACAAAAAAATAGCAGCATTTGCAAAATAAACACACGAAAAACATTGTTTTGAGCTTCCTTATCACTGTATATTTAAGTGAGGAAAACTACTCTAGCCATTCAAAATTTTCAAAGTATTATGGTGCCACAGTACCGTACATTGAAAATAACTCTATTTTAAAATGCAGTCACTAATCACTTTCCTTAAACTGGTAAAGTTGAATT